ACACAAACCAGTTTGTGATTGAATGAGCAGCTATGATCAGCCTAATCTAAGTGACTTTCCAGTCCAAAATCAGCAGGACTACAATCTCATTCTCAGGAGAGAAAAGGCAGCCATGGCCCAGACATGAACTGCACCTCTTCATCTTGCTGAAATTGCAAACGTGTCTCCTTCCTCCCCGGGGAGACTCTTCCTCCTCTCATTCCTTGTGCAACAGCCCTGAGCGTCAGAATCAAGAGCTTCCACCTCAAACATACTGGACCAAATCCCATTACCTTCAACTTTTTCTGTAGGCCCCATCTCTGGAAGGTTACTGGGCTAAATTTGGAGTTTCTTGATGGCTTGTGAGACTTGGAGGGGGTGGAAGAAGAGAGTTAGAAGAGGCTTCACTGAAAAGTAAAATTACTGAGGAGAAAATTGGTCCTGTTTTACCCCGAACCAGGAAAACTGTGCTCTGAGGGGGCTGTTTCCAAGCCCTGCCTGAGGTAACCCTTCCGGAGGCTGATAAAACGATGCCAGAAGCGGGGGCACGGACAGTGGGGCCTCATGGCCCTGGGATGTGCTGCAATGGTAAGAAGAATACCTTTAGTTTTTTTATTGTTTTTTTTTTTTAAAAAGTACCTATTTAAAAACATACAGGGGGGGTGTGCGGTGTTCCCGCCCGCCGCCGCCGGCAGGGGCCGCCGCCGCGCCTCAGGCGGGGCGGGAGCGGGGCGGGGCGGCGGCCCTGAGGAGAGCCAAGATGGCGGCCGCGCGGTGGCTCGGGGCGGCAGCGGGGCTGGGCGGCCGGTAGGTGACCGCCGGGTTCCCTCGGCTCCTCGCTGCCCCCCCAGCCTCGAGGAGGGAGCCTGGCTTGTTCCCGGGGGGATCCCCTCTCGCCCTTTACCCTTGGGGGTGTGGGGGGTTGGTTGGGGACGGCCGTGTCGCAGCGAGCGGCGGCGCCGCGCCGGACTCTTCCCTTTTCCTTCCCTTGTGCGGCAGGGCGGAGTTATTTCTTCCTCTCCTCGTCACAGACGGGCAGTTTTCTTCCCCCAGCCCTATTACAACAGCGAGGCGTTGATTCCCCCTGACACGCAGGTGCTGAGGGCCTTCCCCTGAGGGACCTTTTCCCCCCCTGCGCACATAGGTGTGAGTAATGAGGGGGAATTCCCCACACATGGGCTCAGGGCTGGGCAACGGGGGCTAATTACCCCCACATGCGCTCAGGATCCTGCAGTGAGGGGTAATTCCTCCCGCGCACACTCAGGATCCTGCAGTGAGGGGTAATTGCCCCCCATGCACACTCAGGATCATGTAGTGAGGGGTGATCCCCCCCCAAGCAATGAGGAGTAATTCCTCCCACAGGCACAAGATCATGCAGTGAGGGGCAGTTGATTCCCCCACACGTGTATACTTCGGACCAAGCAATAAGGGCAAATTCCCCCCACTCTCCAGTTGTTAAAAACTATGCAATAAGGGGAAATTCAAAGGGCCATATGGTGGACTATAACATGGACTATAACCCTTATTCCCCAAAGCTAAAAGGAGAAAGAACTTTTCTGTTGGGGGTCCTTCCTCACGCATCCCATTGTGGGGTCTGTACCTGCTATCAAGACCACAAAAATAAGCAAATAACATGATTTAGTGTTCATAGCTCCCTCACTTACAGTGGGGGGGTCCATTTCATTTTTGCCTGTCCCGTGTTTGAGGAATCTGGGCCGAGGTGTGTGCTTCTGATTCACGACCCCCTGAGAGAATCAGCCTCCTCTCTTAGTAAAAGCCCCTGCAGATGTAATTTATTTAAGTTTACCTGCTTTCCCCCCTCTGATAAGGAGGGAAACCAGATAGTAATTAATCCTCTGTAAAATTTATCCATGTTGTCTGTGACACGAGGTGGGTTTTGGTTGCATTTTCTGATTTTCACTTTGCTCTGAAGTACCTGGATGCTGTTGGCTGTGCATACAGTTACAGGAACCAGATGTTCAAGCAAGTATTTAGACATTTCAAAGTTAGGCCTATTACTCCATCACTCCGCCCTGCTTTTTCTATTAATGTTTTTTTCTTGTTTCGCCTCTGCGCTCCCCCCTCTTAACTTCATCTGAGCAGATGACACCACTCCTATTTGACTGCTAGTATGAGACATGTGGCCAGTATGGAGCAGGGTCTCTTTTTAACTGGTCTGGTTTAATTCTGGAACAGTATTTGTACGGGGAATATACTGAATGTCTTTATTCCCCAAAGGGAGGAAATACATAGAGGTAGACAGGGCTGAGGGATGTCTTGGGACATGTAGCTAACAGAGTTTTTATCTTTTATCCAAATGTTGTCCTGGTGTTTTTTCCTTACAAGAATTGCATTACTTTTTTAGCTTGTCTTGTATCTTCTAAGAGTCATATGTGAGAGCCTTATGTTTGATCAGCTAAACCCACAGAGTAGAGGTGTAAATTCTAGCCTTGATTTAGCCTCAGGTGCTTGGGGTTGGATTCACCTCAGCTGTCTGTAATCTTGTGAAAATTAGGTATTTAGTCCAAGTTAGATTGCTAGGTGCTTGCTACCATCCAAGGGAAGACAAAAGGCTTCCTCAGTGTGATTTATGCTCTTCTGTTGTAGGTAAGTTAGGGAATTTGCCTTTCTTTAGTGACTGAAGGTGTCTAGATTAATTTTTTAGGTGACAAAAATTGGAGAGCTAGGTCTATTTTATTATGAAATGAGAGAGAGAGCACTGAAAAGGGGAAAAAGTAGGGGTTGTTTTGTGATCTAGCGTGTGAGCTTGCTACGTTACCTGAGAGGTTTAAGGCAGGTGAGTGTCTTGCTGGGTTGCTAGAAGCATGTGAAATACTATTTCTGTGGGGTAGTGTAAACTTGTGATTTGGAAATTGTTAGTAAAACTATTTTTCTCTAGGTTCTGTCGTACGATGGTAAAAGATCATAACTTGAGAACTCAACAGTCTTTCTACCAACTTGCGCCAAAGAAACCATTTCTTCCATCTGGAGTATGGCATAATGCAGGTAAATACTAGTTACAGATGAATAGGAAAAACTCGCGGTGCACTCATCTGTCTTGTGGTGATAATGAAAGCCTAGTATTCTTTCTGAAATCTGAATGTGGTAACATTTCCTAGGTGGTTTTTAATGAAGTGCCAGGGCATTTGGAGCTTGGGGAGAAGATGCGGATGGCTCACTATGTGCTTGATTATACATGTTTTTTCTGTCTCATTCAGCTGTCGAGACTTGCAAGGGGCTTTGTTGGTGCAAAATATTATCGGGGCTTTCCTGCATTTCTTAATTTAATTTTTGTCTTAGTGTAAATATATCCTGTGTGAAAGATTTTGTGTTGCCTTCTGTCCTGCTTTAGCTGCTGAGCTCTGCCAGATAAAATTGCTGGCTGTCCAGATGGAACCTAGCAAGGATGAAAGCGAAGCCTTTCATTCTTAGAACTGCAATATATTCTTTTTCTAATTTTCCCCCTCTTGAACACACATCCATGTATGGTGCATCAGTGACATTCTCCATTAATATTATCTGCAACTTGGTATTGCCCTGAAAAAGCAATGTTTAAGATTGAGTTTGTTATACCTACCAGTTTTTTGGTAGGCTGTAATGCTCAGAAAAAGGTGGGGGGGGGGAAAGTGAAACTTGCACTGTAGAAAAACATTGTGCTTTTGCACCTGCCTGAGAGATTTAGTAACTGCTCCCCAATGCTGTAGCAGAAAGGGTCTAAGACAAAAAAAATCTGCAGGTGGTGTTGCATGGAATTAGTCACAAATAGAAATCTTATTTAAATGAGTCTGCTCAGGCAGAAGTTTCTTTTTAATTTGGATTTCAGAGAAGTCCAATCTTATCTGGTCCAGCACTATTTTTTGTATTTCAGTTCTAATCAACAAGACAGACGAGTCAACTTTAGTATTTTATCTGCTTCTGCAAGTGCCCTACTAAAGTTGGCCTCTATTTGGTATCTTCTTCTTACCTTGAGCAGATGGCAGAAGAGAATAATAAGCAGGTACATGGAGCGTTCCGTAGAGGCTTGAAAGAAACGATAGAGGTGTTTGATGTAAATACAGCCAGTTACCAACTACTAAATAATGAATTCCAAATGGGTTTTTCACAGCTGTGCAAGGAGCGCTCCAGGTTGATTAATGATTGAAAAACCTGGTCTTAGGAAGACAGATCTTCAACTGCAGAAGACACTTTTAAAAATACGGTGGCTACCCATGTGGGCAACTTTTCTAAGAGCTGATAGAGCCATTTGTGTTTTAGGGTGTTGGAGATGCTGCATGAACAACGTATGGTAGCGGTTAGTGACCCATTGCTTTCAAAAAATCGGCAGAGTACACTCAATTTTTGCTATCCAAATCCCCTGTTGTTGTTTTTTTGTCAACTGCGCTGTTAGACTGGGTGGGATTTTGGATGCCAGCTGGGTCTGGAAGATGAGTAGTTCCTCTGTCCCCATGGGTAAAGCTGACTAGTCACTGGCTCTGTCAGGATTATTTTTTTTCATGTTAGAAAGGTACTGCTGTGCTAAGTCTTTTTTCCTTTAAAAAAAAAACCCAACAAAACCAAAATGGAGTGTGTGCATACTTTGCCATTGTGTATGTTTGACTCAAATGGGTTGTTACCATGACAGACACAGGCAGTAACAATTTGGCATTTATACATAGCGTGATTTGTCATCTAATAATGGGGAGTCATGGGCAAAATATCTGTTTATGAAAATGTCAGCTCTCTTTGCTGCTTTAAATCTGTCTATTGCATATTTTTTGAAGTTATGTGAGCTTATTTCTCAAGTATAATTTATTTATAAATATTGGTTCCTAGAGATTTTTGTTTTTAAAGTGCATTTTTTTCTTTCCTGAATGTTTGTATATCATTGTGTTATTTGATATGCAGGGAGAGTTAGAAGGAAGGAGAACTAGAAAGAGAATTAGAAGATGGGGTACTGCCCCTAACCAATGTTCAGCTGCAGTGGGACATCAGGCATATGCTGCGTGGACATGTCTACAGGAAAATACACTATTAAATGTACAGCATTAAATGTAGAGTATTAAATTTTAGTCAAGATCAGGCTTTTTTATACTCTCTTAGTGAACGAGAGACCCACACTGCAGAAGGAAGTTCAGTAAAAACTTACCTTTTAAACATCTTTAGCAGTGAACTGTAAATAATTTTATTTTGAATTGTTTGGTCAGTTCACTTTCTGGAGGGTAAGTGACAGCTTACAGTAATTTTTCACTCTGTAGAAAACAGTATAAGCAGGGTGTGGTTCACTGTAACTGTTGTTAAGCTTGTTTTTCTTTTTTTATAGTGCTGAAAAATGAAACAAAAACCAAACCCCATAAATTATGTGTGTCTTTAAGGGTTAGTAAGACTGATTATGCTTTGGACAGGGAGTGACAGTGCTGGAAGAGGGAGTTCCCAGCATTTGAGGATCATAAAATTAAAAAAAAACCCCTTGAACACAACAGAGGAATGAAGGTTGTGTCTCTCGGCCTTCAGTAGAAAGGGAGGGTGGTACTGGCCTCATGCAGTTCCACGCTGCTGCAGTAGGATGCTTTTTGATAAATAAAAGTTAGCAAGAGATGCAGAGACAAGATTCCATTTATCGTCTTGTTTCCTGTGAGGTAACGTGCCTGTGTTTATCAGTCTCCGTGTCAGTCCGGAGGCTTTCATGGCCCCCATTGCATTGTGTTTTTACAGTATCGCTGCTGTTTGCTGTAGCGCGGTGATCACCCGGGTCTTGCCTTGCTAAATAATCAGGATCCTTTACTTTCAGTTAAGCTGCTTAGGTCTGATTACATTATTTCTCATCTTTTTTTTTTTTTTTTTTTCTTAATTTCCAGTAAGATGTATGTTTATTCAAACTCAGGACACGCCAAATCCAAATAGTTTGAAGTTTATTCCAGGGAAGGAAGTGCTGGAGTCGAGGACTATGGAGTTTTCCACACCAGCCGCAGCATTTTGCTCACCTTTAGCAAGGTAGTATGAAACACATCATAATCTGTTTGGGGGACCAGTATGGGCTGTGTGTCTACAACTGGTGTTTTTACGCACAGCTTCTGATAGTTCTGCTTCTCCTTAACTGAGGAGCAGCTTGGTTGGATTGAAGTTTTTAATGCCACTTTACTTGTGCGTAAAATTAAAGGTGGGAAAGATTGTGGTTACTGAAGTAGTCTTCTGTGTGTCTGTGCTCCCGATGGCTGTATCATAGCAGAATGCATCGTGGTCTAGTTTATGTAACAGGATTGAGTGGTGTTAAATCAGTATTCTTGAACAGTTGCTGCATCACGGGTGAGACCTCCATCCCTAATTGCGCAAAAGCATTCCCGTCAGAACACTCTTAATTCAAGTAGTTACTTGGAAATCATGCAACTCTTCAGAACTGGGAAATAGACGGCATAAGGAAGTAGGTAGTCCCCAAATACTATGAATTAAATGTAGTAGCTTGCTTGCTTTGGCAGATGTTGGTGCTCACCTGAACTTCAAAGCCAATGGATTTTTCCTTCATAAAAGTTTTACGTTTCGGTCAAAGGAAGGCCAGTTCTGGCCCACTCTTTCAGGCTGAATCTGTAACAGGTCTTGGGAGTTTCAGCTTTCAATACCAAAATGCATAATCTGCAGTAAGAATCGCTGAGTGTATTTGTATCAATTCGTATCATCTTGGTATAGAAGGGGTTGGGAGCGCCATCACAAGCCCCTCTGGGAATATTTGGAAGCATTCATTTTTCCATGTTTGTCATTGCTTTCACATTAGCCTCTGAAAAGAAACTTTATGCATTTCGTGGGTGGAAGGGCTTCAATTTGAGGGCGAGATCCTGAAACGCTGCAATAAACTACCTCTGGAGATCCTAGTTTAAGTCATCTTTGTTTATATTGAAAGAATTATGTGCAAAAGTAGAAGCTGTTTCATGTGACAGTCTCTCCAGGAACCACAGGGTTATCAAACACGAGCGCTGACGTTTCCAAAGGTCTCTTGCGGAGTTGTTTGAGAGCAAACAGGATCTTTAGACGCAAAGTGACTTAAAGTAATAAATACAATGTGAAAGGTTTTTGAAGACATCAAAACATGTTAGCAGAATGCCGAAGCTGTAGGAGCTGATTATGCCAAAGTGTGCATCAGGTTGCAGAATGCAATCGGCTGTCAGAAAATGGCTTTTTGTTGTCATATATCTGCAAATAGATGTTTTCATCAAAGATGCGTGTGCTAGAATGTGTCCCGTGGCAAAACAGCTTGATGGTGTGTATTGTGCAGGTTAATGGGAAAAAAATTGCCTACTATATATCGTTAAACCCCAGATTATGGGTTTTGTAAATGGAATGCTCATTTACTTTAAAAGGGAATGTTCATTTTCCAAAGAAGTAATAAAAGGGGAGGGAGAATTATGTAATTGATCTAGGATAGTTGGTGCACTCGCATAATTTCATTGTTTGAGTAACTTAAAAATCCTGTTGGTTTAGTGATATAAAAGCCCAATACAGATATAACTGTTTCACGTGTGGAAATTCTTTCAAATGGGTATTGTGAAATCTCTTCTGTCAGTTCTCATCATGCATTCCTTTGTGATAATATTTCCAATTCCTTCATTCATTGCATTTTGATGTTTTCCAGTCATTCAGGAGAAAATATATTTTTTTCCTTAATTACAAAAACACTCTTACAGCCTTATGCTCTACTTAATTCTGGATGCTTCCTACTTTTAATGATTTTTTTTTTTTTTTAGAATTTTTTTTAATCTTTAGGAGTAGAATCATTTATTCTGTAGATGAATTAGTTGAGTGTTATTTAAATATTTGCAGAAATTGGTCTTTACTTTCTCATTCTGCTTTTTATGCTTAAAATATTGTCCAAAATACGGTCTTCCCTGTCATCTAAGTTCTTGTGCGGCTTTGGATATTTGCTGATTTACCACCTCACTGGGTGCTGTATGGGCCGTCTCAAGCAATTTAGTATGAATCCTGAGACTTTACCAAGTCTTCAAATTTTACGTGTGTCATACAAATGACTAAAAATATTGAAGATTGCTCATAAAGTGAGTTGGTGTGTTAAAGCCTTGTGGGCTGCTTGGCACTAATCCTTTTATTTAATAGCAACAGGATTGAGGGCAGATATTATTGAGCACAATTACTTCAAATAACTTGCTTTAATCTAAGGAACAGTCCTTGTATTTGCACTAGTCCTACCTGAAACAATAGGTACCTACTGGTTTTGATGCTGAACAAATGCATTTTTATAGACAGAATATAACTTTGCCTCCAAAGAAGAACTGGAAAGGGAGTAACTCCTTCATACATCTTGTGGAAAAGTCCTGTAACGTGTTCAGTTTTATTTTGTACTCTGTGTTGCAGCAGGATCTCCTGGCTCTTACTAAACTGTAGGTGAAGTAACTCCGAATTTCTCTTAATGGTTCTGGTTTTAGTGCTTATTTTTGTCTAGAAATGTATTCTAGAACTTTTTTTTTTTCTGTGACAGATTAAATAAACCCTTAGGAGTTTGCCTGAAATGTGTGTACGTTTGTTTGTTTGTTTGTTTTTCCTAACAGGCAGTTATTCAAAATTGAAGGGGTTAAAAGTATTTTCTTTGGACCAGACTTCATCACAATCACGAAGGTAAGCAGAACAAGAGATTCAAATGTATTAAAAGATGAGCTGCGATTCAGCTATCTAACAGATGGCCGTAGAGAAGATCCAGGCGGATCTTGGACATGCGTAGTGAAAGTACCAGAGCCAATGTTCACAAGCAGTATAAAGGGAATTGCCTTTAATATAAAAGATAAAAAATAAATCCCCATGTGTGGAAAAGCACTGGAATAGGTTGCGCAGAGAAGCTGTATATTCTTTGATCGTGGAAATGGTCAGCGGTGGGCTGGATGAAGCCGTGTGCGGCGTGGTCAGCTTGGAAGTTGGCTCCGTGTCCAAGAGGGAGCGGGAGTAGGTGATGTCCAGAGGAGATGCCTGTGTGAGCGGCACGGAGGGGACTGCAGGCAGCGTTGTGTTTGCCCAAGGCGTGGAGCTCATGTCAGTGGCGATAAGGTGCGGCGCAGTAACCGTGCGGTTATGCTATTGCTGTGTGAAGAGCACAGGGCAATTATCTGAATGATAATTTGGCTCAGAATTAAATGGAAGTGAATGCAGTTGTGTCTCTGAAACAGTTTGGTAAAAATATGTGTCTAAAAATGTATTTAGGAGGCTTTATTTTTCACCTCTTTTTAGCTAATATTTTAATAGTGCTTGGCTTGCAAGCAAGGAAACCTTGCTGTTGACTATTACAATTTGAGTCTTACTGAACTTTTTTGACAAAGCTGGACTTGACAAAACTATGAAATCAAATCTGTGCATCAAATGTGGGAGCCCGTTATGATATTTGGAACGTAAGAAGAATCTCTGCGTAATTACTAGCAGGCAGATTCTCTGTTTTTATTTTTTTTTCCCCTTTCTGATTCTCGTAGGAGAGTGAAGACCTGGATTGGAACCTATTGAAACCAGATATTTATGCAACTATAATGGATTTCTTTGCCTCTGGCTTACCTGTAGTTACTGACGAGGCACCTAGGACAGATACAGGTAAATCAAACTCTTCTGGAAAAGGCCAGTATCTACCTTTTGGGTTTAGTTTTTGTGACATCCGGAAGAGCCTCTCTTGTCTCTTGGAAAAGTGTGCAAGAGAATTTAAAGTGAAAACTGCTAGAATTAACACAGGAGAGCATGTGCAGAACGTGTGCGCTGTAGCAGAAGCAGTGCTGAGCTGTCTGAAGGAGTTCCTTACCCGTGAATCTAAAGCCTGGTTGTCGGCTGCGGTGGTGCGAGGAGTTTATCTCCACAGGAGCTATGCTGAGCTGTGTGTTTCGGCAGTGCGGACTGTGTTCTGTTATACTTTGTGTGTGTGATATTTTTGCAAGTACTGAGGCTGTCTTTAAAAGCTTTTGGGTGTTGCTGCAGATCCTTTTTGTATGGGCACCTACAAAGGCTTTTGTTTCTCTCCTTAAACCAAAAAGAGCACCGAGGCTTAATGTCTGTGGGTTAATGATAGGTTTATGGTCTTAAACGAACAAGAAATAGTAAGGAGTCTTTTCCAAACTGTAATAGAAAGTAATGGAGACTAACTTACAATTTAACTCAAGGGCGGTATTTTGCCTTTTATTTTTTCCTTTGCTACTTACCAACTTAAACAATTTTCCCAGTGTTTAAGGAAGATTATGACTATTGAATTCCTCTCTGTTCTGTTACGTCTGGATTTAATTTCAATATTAATATAGACTTTATTTTATTTAAAAAGTTGTCTTCAAAAATGCTTCTGTGAGACTAACAGTAAGTTTAAAATTGCATCCAGACCTGCCAAATCCAGACACATTCATAATACTTTTCCTTCTGAATTTATCAGGCTGCTAAATCTTTCCTTCTGAGGACCCTACCTTAACCCACACACCCTTACTGAATGTTAGTTGTTGCTTCCTTGAAAAGGTGACACTCCTGTTGTCTGTTAAGGCCTTTGCCTGATGAGAAGAACTCTGAACCGATACTGTTTTTTTGTCAGCAAAAGCCTGGCAAGTAAATAAGGATAATGCCGGAAGAGATACTTACTGTGAATTAGGACTTCTGCCTTTTGGTTTCAAGCATCTCAGCAATGTTTTTATGCAATTTCATTCTGTTGTTGTGGATATACAGCGTTAGTAATCATAGCAGAATTCTCTCCAAGTTCTGATTTGCACATTTTTCTTTCCCCAAGCTGCCTCAGAAGAAGATGATGAAGTTGTATTGATGATTAAAGAACTGCTGGATACAAGAATAAGGTAAAACAGGAACATTACTGCTGGATGGAGTTGAGTTAGTTTGAGGGTTTGGATTTATTTAGGGGACAGGGCATTTTCCTTTGGGCATGTGTGATTTCATGTTTCGGTATCTCGTGTGGGGGTTTAAAGGGCAAAACTGGCCAGAGGCGAGAAGACTGTTGAAAATTTTCTGTCTAGTTTTCCTGCTCAAGTGAACTGTGTGCTGAACAGAGCCCTTATTGCTGAGTGATTTTAGAACTGTGTATGGTCTTACCCTCCACAGTGCATTTAAACAGGTCCGTTGGGTTTAACCTGGTTATTTTTACATAGTGAAAGCAACGCAACCTTTGCTTTTACAGTAACTCTTTTTTTATCTGTTATATTCATCTCTGTCTTAATTATACTTGTCCTTCCCTTCCAAGTATTCCGAAGTAGTTTATACTCTTGCATCATACTCTCAAGGAAAATATCCTAGTGGGTTTCCCTTGCTGTCTGGGCTTCAATCGATTTTTGCCCTCGTATTCTGTTGCAATTTTATTGGTATTCTAACACAGCTTGAATTTAGAAACTGGTGGTAACTAATGAAGTCTCAAGAGTGGCCATGGATCATGCTGTTTACCTGAAGTGTATTTTTGGGCTCATTAATTGCTTTCTGAAGTGAACTGAAAGGAATAAGCAACTTGACATTTTAGATGCAGAGGAAATGCCTGATGTGTTTCTGAAGCTGTGATATCAGATGGCGACATCTTCCCCAGCTCACACATTACAGGAACCAGAAACAGGTTTTTGGGTCATAATCACAGAATTCAGTTTAATTTTTCCAGAAGTAACGATGAACTTAGGTTGGTGGTTTTTTTATTTCATTTTTTGGATGCTGCATTTTAAAAGTGATGTTTAAAAATACCGTTTTGGTTATCTCAGAGCTGACACATGATACTGGTTAATTTTCCTGAAAGGAGTCATGGAATGGTTTAGGTTGGAAAGGACCTTGAAGACCACCCAGTGCCACCCCCTGCCCTGGGCAGGGACACCTCCCACCAGCCCAGGTTGCCCAAGGCCATGTCCAGCCTGGCCTTGAACACCTCCAGGGATGGGGCAGCCACAGCTTCTCGGGGCAACCTGTTCCAGTGCTTCACCACCCTTAAAGTGAAAAATTTCTTCCTGATATTTAATCTAAATCTCCCCTCTTCCACTTTAAAGCCATTCCCCCTCGTCCTATCACTCCATGCCCTTGTCAAAAGTCCCTCCCCAGCTCTCCTGGAGCCCCTTTAGGTACTGGAAGGCCGCAATAAGATCTCCCCAGAGCTTTCTCTTCTCCAGGCTGAACAGCCCCAACTCTCTCAGCCTCTCCTCATAGGAGAGGTGCTCCAGCCCTCGGATCATCCTCATGGCCCTCCTCTGTCCCTGTTCCAGCAGGTCCATGTCCTTCTTATGTTGAGGACTCCAGAGCTGGATGCAGTACTCCACTCACGAGAGTGGAGTAGAGGGGCAGAATCCCCTCCCTTGACCTGCTGGCCACACTTCTTCTGATGCAGCCCAGGATCCGGTTGGCCTTCTGGGCTGCGATTGCACATTGCTGGCTCATGCTGAGCTTCTGGTCAATCAGCACCCCCAGGTCCTTCTCCTCAGGGCTGCTCTCCAGCCATTCCCCACCCAGCCTGGATTTGTGCTTGGGATTGCCCCGACCCAGATGTAGGACTTTGCACTTGGCCATGTTGAACTTCACGAGATTGGCCCGGGCCCACCTCTCCAGCCTGTCCAGGTCCCTCTGGATAGCATCCTTTCCCTCCAGCGTGTCTACCTTGCCACACAGCTTGGTGTCATCAGCAAATTCGCTGAGGGTGCTCTCAACCCCACTGTCCATGTCACCGACAAAGATGTTGAACAGTACAGGTCCCAGTGCTGACCCTTGAGGAACTCCGCTCATCACTGCTCTCCACTTGGACATCGAGCCGTTGACCGCACTCTTTGAGTACGACCGTCCACCCAGTTCTTTATCCACTGAGTGGTCCATCTGTCAAATCCATGTCTCTTCAATTTAGAGACCAGGATATTGTGTGGGACGGTGTCAAACGCTTTGCACGTGTCCAGGTAGATGACATCAGTTGCTCTACCCTTGTCCACTGCCACTGTAACCCCTTCGTAGAAGGCCACCAGATTTGTCAGGCATGACTTGCCCTTGGTGAAGCCATGCTGGC